TTTTGAGTTTTCTTAACCGGGATTAGTCCTCTGAGTCGGCTCGTTTATTGTTACTGTCCGAAATCCCCAATCCAAATGCATCTCCTAAGTTGATAGTTTTCCTCATAGTTCGCCGCCCAACACCACCGGCATTTCCCTTTCTCATCATGGCTGCGAATTCCCCATAATCAATCTGCCCATCCTGCAATCAAAGGCATAGGCAAAATTCAAAAGCTTTATTTAAATATGAAAAAATGAATAAGCAAACATGATGAGAAAATTCACTTACGTTATCTTGATCAATCTCGCTGATCATCTCGTCTAGATGAAGCTCACTCAGACCAAATTCTTTGCACGCCTGTTGAAGCTCATCAATGGTTATGTAACCACTGCCATCTTTATCGAAGAAAGAGAAGGCCGACACCAAATTCTCTTCTCTCTCTAACTTGTTCATATGTACGGTGGCTGCAAGAAACTCCCCGTAATCAATTGTTCCACTGTTATCGATATCAGCCTGGCAATAATTGAAACAAGAATTAAAAAAAAAAAAAAAAAAAGATTAATAGCAGATCGAGTAGGCTATATTATAAAAAATAAAGGGTTCTTTTCACGTTTCATTACCGCGCTCATAAGATCTTTAATTTCGGATTCCATCAGGTCAGACCCGACTCGTTTTAGACCTTCTTTGAGTTCATCAAAGGTTATGGTTCCACTACCGTCTGTATCGATCATTTTGAACAGCTCTTTCAGACCGCCAATTTCTTCTTCGGATAATCTCTCAGCAATAACCTACAAAATTGCAAAAACCTTTTCCAGTGAGTGAAAGTTTTCACAAGTAAATTAAAGAGGGGGTGTTGAAAAATTAAAAAATAATAATAAAAAATAAATAAATAAATCACTACTATTGGAACGGGAAATATTAGAGGCAACAAAATATATAACATTACAACGACAAAAGCTGCAGCAAGCAATACGACTTTATTTCATTACACCATTAGAACAAACAATTCAAAAGCTAATCAAGGCAAGGGTAAAAACCAAAAAACGAAAGGCAAATGTAATGTGATCGGGTTTTTTTATCCTCAAATGTGATGACACCACTAGTTGTTGTAGTAGGCATCACTCACATTGTCATTTCAACAATTAATTCAGAATCTCCAAAAATAATCATGTACTACTATCCAAACTCGATTTTTCCCGATATTGGGCATTGAAACTTGGACCAACATAAAAGCAAGCAAGCAAGCAAGCCAAACATTTTAAAATGACATACTATAAACCGATTAAGTCCTTACACGTAAAGCCATTTTCTTAAGTTTGTTCATAGCCGAGAACTGCTTCAGGCGTGATAAAACTGCTGAATCAAGCGGTTTATCAGGTGCCAGTGTATCATCAACAATCCATGGATGACCTAACGAGTAAGAACAAAAATAATAATAATAATAATAAAGAGGTCGGTCATTTTCATTGGACCATAAGGATAAAGAAGAAAAGAATCAGTAATTTAACTATATTTCTCATAAAAAAAATCTTACACAGAACTTCATGTGCTGTTAACCTTGTCTTTGGATTTCTATCCAGCATCTTTCTTATTAAATCCTTCGCATCATCTGAAATAACAGGCCATGGGTCGGAATCAAAGTCCAATTTTCCTCTTAATATCTGCCGGAAAATTCCCATCTCAGATTCTGGAGATCAAGAAATTGAAATTAAACACTAAAACTCATTTTCGCAAGCATATCTTAATGTGGGTATTACATCTCAAAAATATATAACAAATATTCGTACACGAAAGTACCTGCCCAGAAAGGTGGAACACCACTGAGTAAAATGTACAAAATAACTCCAGCACTCCATACATCTGCCTCGGGTCCGTAATGTTTCTGCAGAACCTCCGGTGCTACATAATAAGGGCTTCCCACAACGTCGCTAAAACTTTCGTCTGATAAAAAAATACAAAACCAGCAAAATAAGTCGAAAGAACAATATTTATTATGCCGTAAAATAATAATGTATATACAAGTAGAGAATCAAAATCCCTTGCCTTTAACAAGAACAAAATTCTCAATTGTGAAAAAGTTAGATCAAAGACCAAGTACCTTAGCTACATAGAGTTAAACACAGAAATTTGGGGTAACAAGAATCTAGTCAGATATGTCTGAAAACCAAAAGCAAACAACCTTGAAGCTCTCCAAAATAAACATCAATAAAGCAGATGAATACACCACAGTCCCACATAACTTTTCAGCTGTATGAACCCGATTTGGCAAATGAAATGGCTTAATCTGAATCAGAAAACATAGAAACAACAAGAGAAACTTTATATCCACCATATACCCCCCAAAAAAAAAGAACAACAGCATATCAACCAAAAATCGTAATTGGGCACTCGCCAACGGAACTGCAGGTACAGAACAAAAAAAAAATAGTAAAGACAATGGCAGGAAGTATAATGAGGCAGTTGAGCTATTTTACTTGCTCAACAAAATCCATAAATGACTCCAGGCAGTTAACTGATAATTGAATCTGTCAGAACTTAGTTTAATGATCTTTTTCTCGCACGGCGGCATACGCAGAGCTGTAGACAGTTCTACCATAGTAAAAAGAGCACAATCACACACAAAAATTACACCCAGATGTTAAATCAATCAGAAACACAGATAAATGCAATTACCACATTGCAAATCCCAGAAAACCAATTAAATACCCCAACCACACAAACCCAACAATGTCCCAGATATCCTTATAAACAACCTATACCAGAATCAACTCAGACAAATCAAACCACCAAACACATCAAAAGCAATTGATTCGACTAAGGTGCCACGCACGAGCTCCCACCTGGTTTGTAGAAAATAGAGAGGCCAAAATCAGTGGCCTTGAGAGCAGCATCCTCATCGGCACTTAGGAACAAGAAATTCTCGGGCTTCAAATCCCTGTGCATGACCCCCAGCGAGTGGCAGCCCTCGACAACCCCAACAATGGTCTTGATCAGCTTGGCGGCCTCCCTCTCGCTGTAATGTCCCTTCTGCACAATCCGGTCAAAGAGCTCGCCGCCGGCGCACAGCTCCATGACTATGTGCACGAACAGCGCGTCCTCGTAGGTGCCCTTTATCCGGACCACGTTGGGGTGCTCCGACAGGTGGTGCATTATCTGAATCTCCCTCCAGACATCCTCGTAGTCCTCCCGGCAGATCAGCTTCTTCTTGGGGATGGATTTGCAGGCGTAGGGGGTGCCGGTGGATTTCTCGGTGCAGAGGAAGGTGATACCGAACTGGCCCTGCCCGAGCTTGCGGCCGATGGAGTAGAGGCTCTTGAGGAGTGGTGTCCGGTACGGGAGGACCCACGTCGGCTTCTGGTGGGGGGTCAGGAAAGTTGGCTTCTTGATCTCCGATGCGGGTTTTTGCGGGGGTTCTGTAACGGTTCCGGCGGTGGGTTCGTGGTTGTGGGATGGAGGTGGAGCTGACGACGACATGGTTGTGATGTGTGTGAATGTGTGTTTGTTCTAATCCGGTGTGTGTGTGTGTGTGTGTGTGTGAATCTTGATTTGGTTTGCAGAGGTGAAGGCGTGTAGAAGACTGGGAAATGGAGAAGGGGGCAAAGGATCAGTGTAAATTGATTTTGTTTATTTGTTTTTATTGTTCCTTCTCTTTTAATTTTCTCTCCCAGCTTGCTAGCAAAGTGAAATCTATATTTTCTGTGTCTAGATTTACTCCATTTTATCTATTTTTATATTTTTATTTTTTTATTAGTTCTCTTTCATCTCTCCATAATTGAAGACATTGTTTTAAATACAAATGATCATATCTGTCTAGTCATCGATATGCGGTATTATCAGTCGAGCCGGTAATATTGGTGGTATTATCGAACTAGTAAATATAATGATACATAAAAACATACATAATAATTTATAATATCAAAAGCAAAAAAGTACAAAAATAAAAAAACAATAATTATTAGTTTCAACTTTCCAATGAGATTAAAAAAAAAAAAAAAACATTCTAACTACCCCTTTAAATTTATGATTTTTTAATAAATTTTTTATTTTTTTTTTACCGGTATTTACGATATGATCTCGATACAAACTAGTGTAACCGTAAATACGGTATTTTGTGTGTAATTTTCCCGTACCTATAGCCGGTATCTGGAATTTTTGGTTTACGGTACGGTATTTTAATCCTTGATTAAAGGATAATCAATTTTTCTTTTTTTTTTTTTGTTGAATATTAAAAGCGT